CATTTGGAAGAGCTGTGGTGTTAATTTTAAAACTTGTAAAACTTAAAGCCACATTGTTTAATCATCACACCTCATATTCTGTTTGCATTCTTTATGCTTAATTACAAATCAGCCAAAGCACTGAGTGACAAACGTGTCATTTTCATGTTTAAGAATACATTTCTGAAGATGTTATCAACCCTCAGACGGTGCTTTAGGACAAATACTGCTACTCACTTTGTAGTGATAAAAGTTCCAATCTTGATTCGTCATATTTGTGAAATATGAATTTCCTACTTGATGCAAAGTAGCCCTCATATTCTTAACATTAATATACACATGTCACTCTGTTTTGAGACTAAGTATAGCAAAAATTCAGTTGATTGTCTTTTTTTTTTTTCAGAATGAGGAGGATTAGGGCCTGTCTGTTTTTCCATTTTTTTTTCTTTCAAAGTATTTAAAGACAAATGGTCCCCAACTTTTCAGTTCAAAATGACTATCAGCTTTTCGTTTAGCTATTCCACTAGTAAATAGAGTCAGAATATTCATGTTTACATGGTTAGCTCTGTTCTATAAAGTACTTGGTTAATATGCATAATACTATGCTTCATTACAGTATTTTTCCACATGCATTCTTAATTCGGTGTGGTACCCGGGAGAGTCCACGAATAAAAACCTGCTATTGATATAGATTTAGAAGATACTTGACTTCAAGTGATACTAGTTCTCACACAGAATTTTCAACCTATCCCTTAATGAGAACCAGTGACCTGATTTTGTATTCTGTGAATGTGTACACAGCTACTTTGCCTGACATGTGGGAGAGAACGTTAACTGTCTGTAGCGCTGGCAAGATATTCAGTGTAACAGGATTCAAGGTAGGACTCCAAAGTCATTGTGCATGAATTACTACTTGGACCAAATGTCATTGTGCATGAATTACTACTTGGACCAAATGTCATTGTAATTCAGTTACTTTCAACAGATCAAGCATTAAAAAAAACAAAGATTTCATACAGCTTTGGCTGCAGAAATCCGAAGGAAATGTTAATTTGTCTCTGAAAGAAAGTAAAGCAGTGTTGAAGTGCAGTGTAACTGTTTCATTTAAAATGATTTCTGTAGTCTTGCTAAATTCATTAGTTCATTGCACAGTTCTGGGTTGAGTTTTTAAAGGCTGATTTTTCGTGGTTTTTAAGTGGTTTGATGAGACCACTGGCCTCCTATTTCCAAGGGCTACTTAACTAGAAGTAAAGTTGGCCTGTCTACAAGAGCATTTGGCTTCTTAGAAGCTTACCATTTCTTGTGCTGACATTGAAATCAAGTTGATCTTTGCAGTCATTGAACTTCGGCCCAGCTGCAGGATATAAACAGTGATTGAGGAAAAATTAGCACAGAATTCAGTTCACCACCAACTTACAGTGACTGCCTGTATCAACTCATTTTATGGCTCACATTTTTCTTTTATTTTGGCCTCAGTTTTGGTTGCAAAGCATTTTTGACAAGTGTAATAAAAAGTGGGATCAATTACATAATCTCTTTTTGGAAGAATAAGCGAGCAGGGGTTATCTTCCGGATGAAGCGGAATGGTTCTGTTGCAGTCCAAAACTTTTGCAATGTGTTCCGGGAAGAAATCCAAAATTGTATTTGGTAGATAAATCCTAAAATTGTACACAGCTTTTATCATTGATCTGTTTTTTTTATATGAGGTTTTACTTTTCCTCTTCCGTAGCTTGGCTGGACCATAGGGCCACAGTACCTAATAGACCATCTGAAAACAGTCGGTCAGAATTGCGCTTACACCTCGCCCACTCCGCTTCAGGTATGTCTTTCATTTTCCTCTGCTAGAAGAAGTTCCGGTCTGGCAACCAAAAGCTGTTGATGCCACTGTGTGGCATAGTTAGAGTGCTACAGAGGGAGGCATACATTTGGAGGCATACATTTGGACTCTAGTTTGCACCCATAGAGCACTGAGTATATTTTGAATTGAATGTGCACAAATTATGTGAAGCATCTTGACACAAGAGGAATGCACATTAGCATGGGCACTTGATAGAAAATCTCCTCATGTGTGCCAGCGGCAGTAGTCTGTAATACTATGGATATAGTTGTGCATGGGTGTATTGTGTCAAGCTCAAATACTAGTTGAAGAAGCCGAAGCTAAATTTCTAAGGAAAACATGAATGAAATCCATGGGACCATGTAGTATCTAAATATAAATCACCTTTTCTTATATTGGTTTAATCAGGACATGTATTTCAAGTGGAATTGGCACACAAGAGCATTGTCTGGTTTAAACGGTACACTATTCCAATCACAGGTTACTCCCAGCTTATGCCAGTACCCATGAGTTGGGAGAGTCAAATGGTTGCCCGATTAATTACAAGACAAGACATGGCCAGCAGCTGGATTCAAACACCTGACCCACTGGTCATGATTTACAAACCTCAACTACTTGGCCATGGTTCCTTGCAGGATGGCTCTTGACACGGCCCAAAATTTGCTGGTTGAATTGCGTCTTAGTCATGAGTGCTTGGTAGAGGTTGTATATCAGAGGCCATTGTTTTGAACACAGGAAGCCGTAGCACAAAGCCTGGAACTAGAAATGTCCCGTCTGGGCCAACCAGATTGCTACCTGACCAGCCTAGCCAAGGAGCTGGAGGTCAAGAGGGATAAGCTGGCTAATTTACTTCGGGGAATTGGCCTGACTCCCATCATCCCTCAGGGCAGCTACTTCATGCTGGCTAATGTCAGCCACCTAGGTTAGTACTTGACAATCTGCATCTAATGCAAGAGTAGTTTCTTCACTTTAACTGTCTGAGACACTAGATGCCTGTAGGTACTACCTCAACACGTGTGTGCATTAGAGACATGGCGGTGAGTTTTGAAATCTCGCTTGTTGGAGGGCATTTCACGTGGACCCATTTTTGTATATTTACACCGGAATATCCAAGTCAAAATGTCCTATAGCTTTAACCCATGAATAACATAATTCGTTCAGTAAAGCTCATAACCCTGAGAAAAAGGCAGATATGTAGAGTGCACAAGGCTGTACTGGACAGATGGAGGCCCAATGAACTAGTCATGGAGGCAACATTTGTTTATGCATGGTGATGGGCACATGAGCTTTCCAGTCAGGATATACTTAGAATGAACGGAACCACAACACTGTCCTAGAGATATTGGTTCAAATCTCTTCTGAGCCAACCTGTGGATTAGATATTCGTTAACCTGAACAATCCCAAATCCTCTGATTTCAATCTGATTTTACATACACCCCAGGGGGTTAGGGTTGGCAATTTTTTTGCATGTCAGAGCTTTCACACCCTGCCGGCAAAATAGGCATAAATAGTATAAAGCTCTCAAAGTAAATGATATATTCCCTTCAGCTTGGGATCCTCATGCATGAGTTAAACAGTAAAAATTTACCTAAGTCCATTCGTTCTATGTTTATCAGAAAGGAAGAAGTGCATCAACTCTTCACCAGATATCACAAGAAACTTTTTCTTTTGCGTGCACCATTCTCACGCCGAATACAGTCAAGCATGAGGGTCCCAAGCTGTGGTATTCTTGAGACGTTTTTATAAAGAATCTGTCAAATCTACAAACATTCAAATGTAAATAAATTCTATTCATCTTCATTTATTTTCTGTGTCTTACAGGGTTACAAGACTTGTTGTTTACATGACTTTCTGGTTTCTTGTCCAGTTTAATGTCAAAATTAATGTGGTGTTTGCAGTAATGTGTATTATTCCTCATTGGGGTCCCTACTCGACAAGCACTGCTTCTAAGGGACCCCATCCACAATTTTTTTTCTGTTACACATGTACATCTTTGCAACATACTTACAGTTATGTCGGAAAATAAAGAATGAATGAACGTTGCCAATAAAGTAGGAGGGGTTTTCAGGTTGGTAGAGAAGTCTATACTTTGTTACAAGTACTTTTGAATGTAGGAGTAATTTCCATTTCTTTCTACTCCTGTGACACATTTGAATTTTTCTCTGGCCAAGTCATAGTTTAAAAAGATCTGGAACAAATTTGAGATTTGTATATCTGTCTTAAAGTTTGTTCGAAGTGATTTCATTTGTCCGTTATATTCTTCCCATACATGTCTTCAATCTTCAAATAATTCTCTGTTTATTGCAGGCGACCCGAAGTTAGCTTTTTTGTTTTTACAGATCTCTGGTTCAGCTGTCACATGCTTAAATATCAGTGATGCTGCGCAACATGTAAATTTGCACCACTCAACTCCTGTGTCATGTCGTGTTTTTCAAAGGGGCATACATTTATTGCCTTTACCTTGTCCTTCCAAGTGTGTATCCATCAGGCCGCCTGTCCATCAATATTTTCACTGCAGCTTGACAAGGACTCGACATACCAATTTCAAACTTGGTGTGTGGGTTGGTCTTGACGTCCTGCAGAGCTGATTGAATGTCATGGGGTAGGCATGGGTTTGGCAGGGGACCTTTGTCAACACACCATTGAAGCTGTGTTTGATTTTTGTTTTCCCCACAGATTTAGATTTGTCTGATTCCGGTGATGGGCCGAAAGATTACAAGATTGTCCGCTGGATAACCACAAAATTGGTAAGCCATGCCAGAACACAGAAACGTGAAGTTAATTTCTTGTAACAGCTTTCTATCATCTTGAATATCAAAATCCCAGTTTTTCTGAATTAGGAAAACAAAACACCCACCAGGGGTTTAGATAACATGTGTGTTGGTGTATATACGCTCCCCGACTTGGAACTTTAGTCAAAATATGCAGCATAAAATCTCATGCAGCAGTGATTTCTTCTATAAAAAGAGTACCTTGGGTTTCTGTATTTTTTATGTATCAGAGTTACAGCAACATTCTGAGTAGAGGCTGCTGAAACCAATTTGTTCATGTTCGTCTGCATGCAGCTTTTCCCGCCGCTCCATGCATAGCCATGATAAATTATTCAGAAAACCCTGAATTGACGGGAAAAACCTGAAGCGAAATGTGTTGTAGACCGAAATGGGCTACTGCGCACGCATTGTGTGCATGAATCGTTTTTGTGTACAAAAACGTGGTCACCGGACTCCCTGAAGACACGGTGCGGTAAAATTGATTTCCAGCATGCGGGGACCACACTATTTCATCAACTTTTGCACGAATGGATGGGGTTCGAGTTGCCCAAACTCTTCATCGAAAGTTTTGAAAAAAAATGGGAAGTTTTCTGCAAGTTTTGATCCGATAAACACTGGCATTTTTTCAAGTGGCATTTTAGAGGCTTTCTGGTATGTCTGCAAGAAACCAGGTATCAGTTTTGGAAAATTTGAGTCTGAAACACCTTAAAAAGATTGAGGTTTAGATCGTGAGTGTGAGTACATTTGACCGCCAAGCAATGAAGTGCACCGTGACTTTCCGAATGGCCACTGTCAGAAGTGCGCATGGTGGTGAGTCAACATGGCATCCGTGCATGGTAGCCTGACACGTGCCACAGTACATGGCCGGATACGGACTCATGTGATTTTTGTCTATGCTGTCATGAGTTTATGGTTATCACAAAGCACCGTTTTTTACTGTGTTTTTCAAGAGAGATAACAAGTATTGTTATATTTACTGAGGCAAAAGGATTAACTCGCGTAATATCGATACTCAATTCCTCCATCTATGAGGGAGTACAGTACTCTCCCCACGAAAAAGAAGAGTACAATATGAAACAACCCTGAGGGCAAAAGAGTACTGCTCTCTACTCTGAGTAAGGAAGAAGGGTATTGTACTCATAGCTTGAAGACAATTATCTAAACCCCTGACCCACCACTGCTGAATCACAGGACATGCGTACTTGGTACACAGCCTCTGTGCCTGCATAGCTGGCTTTTCCTTTTTGAGGGAATAACAATTGGTCATGAAAATTAAAAAGAAGGAAAAGTCTTGTAAACAGATCAATAATTGCCTTGCATTTGTTTTGTTTTTACACCAAAATATGAAATTGGAGATTGAAACGGACATTTCTGTTGTCAGTACATTGTGCTCTTTTTTTTTTTGTATGCTATACCTTGATTTGAGACAGTTGCCATTTGTGATCAAATTATTTAGCAAGCAAATAATGTGATTCTGAAATACTTTCATTAACCCTCCTACGCTGAAGTCACTCTTTGGGTCACTTGGTAAACACCTCAAAGAAGCACAGCTGTGTTGTGTTGTGCATTGCACCAATGTGCAAGAGAGTGACCTTGGGCACTTGTGCATATTTGTGCTGTAAAACTAAAGGAGGGTTGATAACCTGATAACTGAGGAACAAAAAACCCTAAGCATTGCTTTTGAAATGGGCAAGTACACAGACAGGATACTATAACAGGTTGTTTTTTGTTGAGAAACTTTATTATGTGGTTCCATTGGAAAGTCTCTTAAAGTGACTTCTAAGCATATGTCATATGTTTAGTCTAGCCCACTTAAATACAGTGTGGGGGAAAACTATTTACTACACATGTGTGGGTCATACATTCATTGCTTGTATTAGTCACAGGTAACACATTTTTTTTAAACTTTAGCACTGTGTGTTTCTGGCCTCTCTGATTTTTTAGGGTGTTGCAACAATTCCCTGCAGTGCCTTCTACTGTGAAGAACACAAGTCCTTTGGAGAGAAGTACATTCGATTTTGCTTCATCAAGGTAATACAAAATTACGTCATAACACTTTTGGACATTTCATTATTTTTTTTCATTTAGCCATTTAGTTATAACATGTACTTGGGTGTGAGAATTCAACTTTTTAGCCGAGTTTAGCTTTTTTTGTTTAGATCTAAACCCTGAATTTCAGCTTTTTTGGCACACCTGGTCTGTACAAAAGTATAGGAACCTTTTAAATGTGCACTTTTTGCTAGCTGTTTTCAGCTTTAAGTTTTAGTGGCCACTCACACCCTTGTTAGAAAGTGCACTGTATCCAGAGGTAAAACAGGGATGTGGTGGCAGATATTTGGACGCAGGAGAACGAATGTCAAAATGTCATCATTGTTCCAAAGATTGTTGAAGAAAATGTGTCAGATGAGTTAATTTCATACCAGAGGGCACATGCACAGAGCTATGCACAGAGGGCATAGCTCTGGAACCATCAAATGCCATCATTACAAATGTTGAAAAAAGCACCCATTCCTTCAAATTTCACTTGAGACTGTTAAAGACTTTCAGAAAATTAGTAGAACTGCATTTACATGTTTAATTTCAAGGTTTAATCTTCTTTCCTTTTGATAACGGTCATAGTTTCATTGCAGTTTTTACCCTATCTATCAGTGGGCAGGCTGTGATCCTTAAAATAGAAATGATATCTGAGGAGAAAAGACTAAAGCTCAATTTTGTTTCTGGGATATTTCAGGAGGACAGCACTTTGGATAAGGCTGCAGAGAAACTTATGAAATGGAAGGCTGGTGTGTAGGATGGAAGTACTCTAGGAAGAGGCTGTGCCGTGGTCTCACCCATTAACATTACTGGTATCACTGGTTGTTGACCAGGAACCATTTGCCATTGTTCTTTCACTGAAAAACAAATATTTCATTCTTATGCAATGGACTCTTTTTGTGAGGGAGGAAGAATCAGTGCATTGTTACCTGAAACAATGTCTGGGGAGCCAGATGTGAACTAGTCAATAAATGCACATATGGCACAGATTGCTGATAACTAATTGTGATTGCACTGCTCCAACTTACAAAGGTCTTAGTGTCTCCAGATGTGTTTGGCTGAGCTCTCACTGAGCTGTCCTTAGTGAGAGGTGACTCAAGCACAGAGTACATTCATGTGTATAAATGTTGCAGGTACAGTGATACACAAATGGATATAAGTACCTAGAATTGCTTGACTTGCTGTGATTATTACCATGCCTAAGTGTCTTTACCTGATCTACAGTCATCTGCAAAAGTTTAAGACCACCTTGAATTTCATTGGTATTTCTGTCACTGGGCCTGCATTACACTGTCTCACTGAACGATTACTTAACATGATTTTACAGTGGTGCATAACATCAGTGTAGTGCTATATACCCAATTGACAAATTTCTTGCAAAGGCAGGTCTTGTATGACATTTTGTCTGTAAGGCAGCTTGGAAAAAAAGCCAGTCTAAGCAATCAGAAATAAAGGAGGGAACACTGAATATTAGACTGTTAACATGTCAAATCATGGAAATAGTAGTCAGAAATGTTCAACCAAGGTACCAAGGTTACACATTGAAAATAAACATAAGTTGCCATGATTGATTGGTTTAAATTTGGTTTTCCTTTAGGTTAATGCATTTTCTATGGGTGGTCCTAAACTTTTGCAAATGACTTTAATTATCTGACATGAAGTCAGTACAAATCGTAGAATTGTCAATGAAAGTCTGGGTGGATAGGACCCACTATTTTGAGATATACCCATTTTGAAAAGAACATAATTAAAATTTTGTATCACTAATCGTATGCATTTTGTTATTAATAAGATATCATGCAGCAATTGAATTTTGCTGCTTTTGAGTGTGACTGGAAAAAATGGAGGTCTACAGAGAGAGAATTTGCTCTCTGTCCAGTGGACTGTTCCATGAAAAAGATGAATAACCCCCAGCTACCATGGAACCCTGAGGTGCAGCATTCCTCCCATAGCTTGTTGTAGGTCTCTCTTTCAGACTGTCCGTGGAAAGCTTCCCAAGCATCACATACAACAGATGCATGCAGTTCTAGCTGCATTTGGAGCATTTGTATTGCCTCATTTGTATGGCATACAAATGATTGGATTGTTCATTGCACATACACGTACATATATCTGTCAACAATGGAAATATTTCTGGGATCAAGTGATCCCCTCTCCTCATGCCTGTACCTATTGTAGTCCCCCACACGAAAAAAATTGAAAATACACACAAAAAAGCTTAGTATTTTGGGCGGAAACTTAGCCAGTGACTTAAGCATTACATGGAATAGATGCTTGACTAGTGTTGTTTGAGAGCCACTGTGGGTTCAGCCATTGAACTACAGATGCCTCACTGCAGAAGATCAGGCCCCACAAGCTTATCCCTGACAGATATCACTTTTTTAAATTTATATGCTTCAGTTGGCCTGATGTTGACTTTATATAAATGGGAAACAATTTGGGAAGTCATTTTAATTTTTGTAATGTAATAAATAGGAAACAATTTGGGAAGTCATTTTAATTTTTGTAATGTAATAAATAGGAAACAATTTGGGAAGTCATTTTAATTTTTGTAATGTAATAACTGGTGACAGAATGTTTTTCAAGGAGGGGGCAGTTGTGGGACCCTCACAATGATGCACTAGCAGCTATTAACAGACTGAGCCATTAAAACCCTCCTTTTGCTGTAACAGTCACAGACTGAGAATATTCATTTTGAATTTTAAATAAAATAATGATCATGTCAGAATTATGTATAGAAAGTTGTGGGGCTCCTGTCTTTTGCACTATGCATCCAGCTTCGTCTTCGACTTCAAGGTTCAACAAACTAAATGAAAATGTGTCCATCATTAGCAGTGGTGTAACTATAGGGCTAAACGTCGGGGCAGCCAGTGCACCTCGGCTTGGGGTGCACATGCTTTTTTCAAGGGGTACCACAAGAATAAGTTGTAGCTTCAGAACTGTATTAACTCAATGGAGATTATTGCTGCTGTCTCTATGTCTCCTAGCTTTGTGGAGCAATCCAGCAAACAGGACGGCACATCATCGATGAATGGCTTGTCTCCCCCCCCCGACATCATCAACCTGGCAAACTCTGACAATAAAGTACATTGGCTCCAGTGCCTCAAAGATGTAGTATAACCCCTGCACTTTCTCACGCAAGAAAAATCAGACATTATTCACAGATCTCAAATGGGTGGGGGGGGGTACAGGCCCCCGTAGTTACGCTACTGAACATTAATTCAGACAATCCGACAAAATGTGACGGTAAGTTTCGGGCCCAACAGACCCCGACGAGAGACGCTCTTGCGAGCTAGGGTGCCTCACCGACGCGTTCACGGGTGGGGCCGAGTCGGTTTTTGCGCCCGAGTCGAAGCGTAACTGGAGATGCGCCCTTTCGCGGTCAACGAAGTCCGAGGAAGAAATCTTCAGCAGGCGCCCACGTAACGCTCCCCGTCCGGCACCCACGGTGGGACCGACGCCGCCCGCTGCGAGATGCCGCCCTCGGGCTGGAAGCCATGGTTCATCCGTGCCGAACAGCTGATCGCACGATGGCATTGGGACCGACTTGGCAACTNGCCAATCCTCGGCCACCGGGGAAGCGCTTGTTCACTCCGCCGTCAGTTCTGGCATGCCCTCCTCCGGCTGCACCCGCTTCTCCGCCGAGTCCGAGATCCGCCGGGCCCGCCGCTGGTCCTCCTCGGTCTCCTCCTCCAAGTCCGGTCCGCCCGAGGGCCAACGGGCGGCGCCGGCCGGCCCTCCGCGCTCTACCTCCTCCCCCAGCTGCTGGACCCCAACACCACCGCCTCCCCGCCACCCGAGTGGCGGCGCCCCTCTCCCAGAAACCGCTCCCGCGGCGGCGACGCTGCCTCCCTATTATCCTAACCCTACCCCTAACCACAAACCTATATATCTCTAAACCTTACCCTAACCACAACCCCAACCCCAACCCTAACCCTTACCCTATCCCTAACCCCACCCCTAACTCTATCTGTAACCCTAACCCTATCCGTAACCCCAACCCTATTATCCTAACCCTAGCCCTAACCACAAACCCATATATCTCTAACCCTTACCCTAACCACAATCCCAACCCTTACCCTATCCCTATCTGTAACACCAACCCTATCCCTAACCCCAACCCTATTATCCTAACTCTAGCCCCAACCCTAACTGGGAAAGCATGGCTGTTGCGCCTGAATATGGGAATGCTCGTTACCGTGAAAACAAAACATGCATCAATTAAAGCACCCTTTGAAAATAGTGAAACAAAAGTTGAAAGCAAGGTTAACTGAGACAGAAAGGTGCATTTTGAGGGTTTACATTAAAAACAATTGTAACTGTCATTGAAATAAAAAGTTGGAAATTCAGATGGTCAAAATCTACTATCTTCTTTGACAAGTCATCTTGCATCTTTATCCAAGTTACATTTTATTTATAAATCACAAGATCACGTCATCATTTATGCCATTTCACATACGCCAGTCTGTGCACAAGCCAGTGTTAAGTCAAGGTTTTGATTCTCAAGGCCGGCGGTTGAATAAAAAGGTACATTTTAGACAAATTGTACACGAGTTAAAGAAAAAGAAAGATATACGCCAACTTTGTGTTGTGTGCGTACAATCACAACTATTTTAGCAGGAGATCATCGTAACTCCAAAGACGGTGTTTCATCATGCCCAGCACCTAGGGAAATACGGAATGGTCAATACTTGCATTTGATATTTTCTCAAGTTTTGAGAAATGGCAGGTAAATTTCGGTGGTGTTCTGTTTGAGTTGGAAAAGAGACACATTCTTGACCAAGTAACTTGGGTGACTTTTTTTCCCTTGTCCCTTTTTGTAACTCGAATATACTGATATAAAATTTAGGGCCAGTGAGGCTCTAGATATAAATGACAACATGAAGTTTCGGTCTTGCCAAAATTAAATGTAACGTGGGTTACGTGGAGATAAAAACAGAACTGAATGGAAAAAAGGGAAAAAAAGGACACATGGTAAACAAGCAAATGTTGTTTTCACAATTTGCCAACATGTTTGTAATGTTTCGGGCCCGACAGACCCTGACGAGAGACGCTCTTGGGAGCTAGGGTGCCCCACCGACGCGTTCACGGGTGGGGCCGAGTCGGTTTTTGCGCCCGAGTCGAAGCGTAACTGGAGATGCGCCCTTTCGCGGTCAACGAAGTCCGAGGAAGAAATCTTCAGCGAGCACCCGCGCCGGCCGGCCCTCCGCGCTCAACCTCCTCCCCCCGCTGCTAAACCCCACCACCCCAATGGAGTGCGCCGTGATACAGAGGGTGTATACAGCGTTTGGGACGTGATTAGGGTAAAAGCAAAATCTTGACTGATTCGACATCCAGTGGATTCTCTATCATTTTCTGTTGTTGAAATTCAAAGAACTATAGGGATTGTTTCTTTGTTTGTTTTGCTTTTGTTTGACCAGTTTTGTGCTTGTATTTGGGGGAGCAGATCTGTGGGCGTGACGCAAGAAGATTAATCCAATACAAGTGAGACATGCATGTCTTTTGCGAGGATTTCTGTTTGAAAATATCAAGTGATTCTGCAGTTGAAAGCAAGCAAAATTGTACTAAATGTTTTTCCATCAATGAAATAAGGAGGCAAGTGTTGCAAGACTGTGTCGCCCCTTGATCTGTTTCTCTTGCACCGTCAATAATAAAAATTCACCATACAGATACGTCGCTGTTTTTTCGACTGAGATCACTAGACAGAAATGGACCCAAACACGGTTGAAATCGGTTTTATTGTCGAACATTTAAGAAATTAAGATTATGAATCAAAAAGTGATCCGTGTATTCAACCCAGAAAATTGCCTTGAGAGTGTTTTGCGCTCACAAAATTTAAAAAAAAAAATAGGTGAGGGAAAAATATAAAAGTTATGTGGTGTTGACCAAGCATTCAGGCGCACGGACTCCTGAAATTCGCAAGGAATCGCAGTTACCAGCTTCCATATAGGACTCTTCTGGGATCTCAGGGTTCCCGGCCCACCACACTTCCTCCCTGCCCATCCATTTAAC